ACAAATTCAATACAAAATAATTTCCCTGTTTCTTTCCAAATGTTTTATTTTATATAATCCCTTTTTTTAAATTTAAACCTATCGTTAGGTATTAACGATAGGTTAATTAATACCTAACCTATTAGGTTAGGTATTAACCTAATAATACCTAACCTAATAGGTATTAGGTTAGGTAATAGGTTATAGAACTATAGGTTCTATAGTACCTATAGTTCTATTTAATTCACAGTTTGTTTTAATCTTTTAAATCTATTTTAGTTTAGTGTTCTTTTAAGAAGTTAAGGTTTTTTAATTTCCTGTTTTAACCATTTCTTGTTTCTATTTTAAACCCAATGGACAATTTCACATTCCACACACTGTAACAACAGACATTGAATGTGGTTCAAAGGGGAAAAAAACAATAAAACACAACAGACACAATCCAGCAAAAGACCGAATAACTTGTGCTTCAAATCAATGTCTTTTCTCTCTGATGATCCTGAAGGCTAATCCCGTTTCTCTGAATCCACTGCTATTTCAGCAGGAAACATGGGCAGGTCATACCAGTTTGGATGATTTGCAGTATCCAGCAGAGGGCGTAGCTCCTGCTGGATACTGGGCTCCTGTAACCCAGGGCTCCTGGGTTACAGCTCGCCATCTTGTTTCTCACTAGCGGAATCCAACTCAGCAATTGACTCGGAATTTCAAACAGGTTTGGCATTTTGCCTAACTCAGCTGGTAAAATTTCTAATTAATGTTCAATAATTTTGTCAAATAAGCATATTAAATGATACCGCTGGCAGAAAAACCTGTATTTCTAAACAATGTTTTTTTTTTTTTTCCACTTATAAATTTACTTGGAATAAAGACTGGAATTTAATCTGATTTTCAGCATTATTTCTCAATCAACAATTTTAGCAGACAGGGAATACAAAAGAAGAGAAGTTGTCTGAGTCTCAAATTGACCAATATGAGAGTGAAATTTTATTTCTCCTGCTTTTAGCCCCTTTTTTATTTTGAGTGTTGTATTGAGCTTAAATTGAATTCATAAAAACTCTGGGAAAAAGTTTATCTGAAAATGTAGCTTGAAAACATCCATAACAGGAAGTAACTTCATTAGAGCAGTTTTTGTGCACCGCCAATATAGGAGGACTAAAATTGGTAAAATGAACCTTTACTTTCAAGAGTATCTAACGAGAAAAAGAAAAAAAAAATTTAGTGCTGCATTAATTAAAGAACCATAAATAAATAAGTTGTGGAAAAGAAAATACAGAGAAACCAGAACACCAGGTTTCAGTTTAAAATCTTTTATTGTCTTTTGAAGTAATTGCATTAGCCTACAGAAAGATTGGTACAGTTTAAAGAGTACCTGTCTTGAGGACAAACAAGTCTGTGGGAAGCTGTACACGAGCGAGAAAGAAGGAAATGTTGCATCTGAGTTCAAACAGACCAACAGGAGGACAAGCAGAGAGGAACAGCTTCTGCATCATGGCTGGCACAACACAGCCAGCAGGCCTTTGAAGGCTGGAACAACAGCTCTCCCTCTGCATTCAATTGCACTTTGGTGTAGAGTAGCTTCATGTGACTGCTTCACCCATTACCATTCATCAGTTTCTCAAGCTAATGAGTAGGTGTTATTATTACTATTGTGTTATTAGTCTTCAATCTTGCTGATGATGACCCACATTTGAACAGTGTTGCCTTAGAACCAAAGCAGAAAGATAAGAGTTGAAAGTGAATCTGAAAATGTTGCTCCTGACCGCTGGTAAAAACAGAACACCACCAGTGATGTGAAAAAGCATCAATGTTCAGGACATCGGAATAATTTTTTATATCAGACAATCTGAGTAAATTGTTAAAGCAGCTTCAAATGAGGAACAGTTTGTGCCACCTTTGGTAGCAACACACTCGTTTTCATTCAGACACATTAGAGGGTTTTCCAGCATGAACAGATTGTTAAGCACAACCAGAGTCAGGTCCTTACTTTGACTGGGCCTTATTTTATTTTAGCTATTCAGAAGAGGACTTGATGATGTGCTTTGGATCACTGTCCAGCTGCATAACTTAAGAATGTCTGTTTCACTACAGAACACAATTCATAGTTCAGTCAGATTATGGTAAGTGAATCCCAAGGTCAGGTGCATCTTTATTAGAACTTTAACGAGTTAAAAATATTAACTAAATTAATAAAAATAATTTTTAAATGCAAAAGTCCCAATCTGGAACTTTTTTATTCATGTTTTCAGTACACTTGGATATTTGACGCTCAAGCAGTATCTGCTAACAAAGTGATGGCCGACACACCAGCAGGAGGACAACCACTGAGGTTCAATTTTGCTTCAAAAATTATATGATGGAGTTATGGAAAAGACTATTGTTGTTTTCAAGTTGTGCTAAAAGGAGTTAGCCCATCAATGAAGCTATTCAAGCCCAAAGTGTACTGCTGCTAAACATGTAGCATTAGCACAAATGTCCCAAATGCTCATGACAGTGTACATACACAGTCACATTTTTAACTTCCAGAGGCACTGAGAAACTGAACGGCTAGAATAACACTTTACTCCACTCTGATGGTTGAAGAACAGATTAAAACAATAAATATCTTTGTTGTTGATGTTATGTCTATTCTTGAATGATTTAGCAGCAAAGGTGTTTTTGAATTGAAAATATTATTTTGTTGATGCATAGTTTTCGAAAAATGCAATTAATTAATTATAGACCCAGCAATTAATCAAGTCTCCACTAGTCCTTATGTTTTTTGGGGTTAGCACTGATTTTTACCTGTATCTTTATCTCTTATATCTCTGTGGAACACTGATTTTAACTAAGCCAAGTGAGGCCTGAAGTTTTGTAGATGCTGTTCTTTAGATCATGTGCGCTGTTTAAAATCTATTTATTTAGTTTATGTTATGAGACAGATTGTATGCATGATTCTTGATTCTACAGGTCTGACAGCACTGAGGGTGTGGCTATTAAAATCCACTCACCAGTCCAAATAATGCTTTCTAATCACTATGAATTTGTGATTTAGTTTTTTACACACGAGCCCAATTTGCTTCGGATCATTTTTTTTTCTTGACATAAATGAAATGATTTGAAGCATTCTTTTTGTATTTACTCAGATTATCTTTCATATTTAATCTGTGAAAAAACAACATCAGGAGAACTGTAAGAGGGCCCACACTGTTTCAGAGCACTGTCTATCAAATTTCCTGTCCTAAAAAGTAAAAAGACTGGCAAAAGACAGAAAAACAGGAAATGAAAGTGCAGTTGTCATCATATTTTTACACACAAAGTGACATTATATGGCTAAATTTTAGTCTTACGGAGTGAGCTATGGAACCAAAAGATAAACTAATTCAGGTTTTCATCTGAAGATCCTTTGCTGTATAGTGCAAACATAAACAATAGATCCTGAATTTTGATTATTGTATTGGATTTGTACTCAAGTATGTTCGCCAAGGGCGCCTTTTATTGTTCACAACATTTCTGTACAAGCTCCTGAAATTCCATGTAGTGACCTTTATCAAAAATTCACAAGGCAGAGTCACAGTGAAGTCTACCTGATCGTGAACAATAGAAATAGCAAGAGATTCAACAGGGTCTCAAGTTCAGTTCAAGCACATAAAGGTTCAGTGTGAGTCAAAGTAGTCAGCGGTAGAGCGAATGGACTCATGAAGAGCAGAGGAAAACAGACAGCTGAGTTATTATTCTGAAAACAGAGGGTTCACAAAGTTAAAGGAAAAAGAGAAAAAGCAGTCATAACATCTTCAAGTTTACAATGAAAAAGGAAATAAAAGTAATATATAACAATCTATCACAGCCACATGGAGGGACAGACAGATTGATTCTCAAGCTCACCTTTACTATTTGGTTAATTACATCTTGTAAACATTTGTATTTGTTTTTTCTGTATAGAGGAAAAAATATCAAGCTAGCTTATTATTTTCTTTATAGGCTGTGTAAGTTTACCGTTAACAGATAATATAAAAAAACAACACATGGATAGACAAATATATCAGCTTTTTTGCTTTTTAAAAAAGTCAACTAATAAGAGCAAAAATATACTCAAGCACCGTGAAAGATCTCTCTCTAACGCCATCGTCGCGTCCTGCTGAGTTCACCCTACACTACACTGCAAAAAAAGTCTTGAATTCATGGTAAAACACCAGCAGCTGTGGTTGCCAGAATTTTACTGTGTAAATACAGTAAAATTTACAGTAATTTACTATAAATTAGAGACTTTTTTTTACAATGCACGGCCTGCAGCAATTACAAACATCTGCAGAGGTGAGACACAGCATGGCGCCACTCAAAAGTCGCCTCTCTCTACTCACAAGAAACTGAATCGTTTAAACACAGCAGATCCTTGCAAAAAGAAATGAAAACGACAAACACTTTTCTGATATTTAAGAAATGAAAACCAGCCGGGACTGTGCCAAACACACAGGCCTGTTCAGGAAGCATTACTAAGTAAGCATGAGCTCACTTCATCCCCAGAATGCACCTGGGCACCTCAATGATCCCTACATGAGATCCGGTGTTGCAGTGGATGGGTAGAACTACCAAGGCTGAATCCTTCAGTCCTTTCCTGACCTTGGGTCTCCTCACGACACTCCTTACTGATTTATAGACGTTTCAATTCAGTTTGAATCAAAATAAAAAGATAGCAAAGATTAATAATTTTTCTTTGTTTTAAAATATTAAATAATCAAGACAACCATCAGAATGTGGAGTTTGATGCACAGCAATGTCCATCCATCCATTTTCTTTACACCCCTGTCCCAAGTGGGGTTGGGACAAGGGTGTGGGACAAGTGAGGGGTGCTGGTGCCTATCTCCAGCGAACGTTCCGGGTGAGAGGTGGGGTACACCCTGGACAGGTCGCCAGTCTGTCACAGGCACAGCAACGTATTTAGTTTTAAACAGTTTCAATTGCTCTTTAAAAGTAAACATTTATTCTGGTGTATTATCTCAGTGGGATATAAATGAATCAAGTGACTAATTAAAAACTAGTCAGCAATTTTAAAACAACAATATGCCATATAGTAGATATTTTTATAAGTGTTATGGCATAACAATTAAATCAGGGGTGCACCAATTTCCTTCATTCTGTGAGATCTGCAATGTGAAGCCAATCTTATCCACCGGTCTTAACTACCTCCACAAAAGTTTTAAAATCAGCTACTGCCTCCTTTTGCTCTGCAGAGAACTGACTGACAGCGCCCCCACAAGGTCACATCTGCACAGCGCTGTCAACAAGTTACCCTACTGTTGCCAACTTAGCAACAATGTCACTATATTTTGTGACTTTTCAGACAAAAATAAGAAATTGGTATTGGAATCAGCTGGTTTAGCTGTTTAACCCTTTCATGCACACTTTTCACTAGTGGAAAGCTATCTAAAAGCCATTTTCTTGGGCTTCTTGTGGATTTTTATGTTATAAATGCACACAGATCTGAGAAGTGGACACTAATGCATCATAAAATACACTATCAACTACTGGCCATAAGCTGCAAATGCAAGAAATTATTTTTGTCTATTTTATTATGCCTTAAGAAAAAAAATTGAAAAAAATCCTGACACAAAGGATTATAAGTCTTGCACGAAAGGGTTAAAGATCAGTGTTCGACCACAAAACTGCAGCTGGGGCATCCTCAGCTTAAATACATTAAAGCTGGTTTATTTTTTGTTAGGGTTCATTTGTTACAATAATTCTTATTTTCTAAAAACCCAAAACAGTAGTATAAGCTAAAGTGTTTGAATAATTCCAAACTGTTTACACACACTAATGTGCATATATATAGTCATGTCTGTTAACATAATCAGTGAGACTGATGGGTCATTTCCCATAGGGATACTCCAATCTGACCTGGGGGCCAACAGGAATAAGGTTTGGGGTTTCTGTAGCCTTAAAGATGTTCTAAACATTGGCTCACACCAGGGTGTGTTTCTGATTTGTTTAAAGAACACACACCAAAGACGAATGAAGTCCTTTAAAACAGGAGGATTTCTAAGTGATTAACTGTAGCCTCTTTACTAAATCTTGTTCTTGAAATTCTACAAGAAAACAAATACTTTTCATAGCTTTTATACTTGATAAGATATGCTTTGAATGTAAAGGTGAGAAAATGAGCAGTCAATTGTCTTGAAAGAAAATATTTGGCAGAAAGACTAAAAATATCTCTAGTTTCTGCCCATTTCACCCCGTTTGCTGCAACAGTTGCTCCAACTAGCTAACGCTGTTAATAACAGAGCGTTCTGTATAACGCTCTGTTATAACAACTCACCTGGTAGAAATGAGGAAAAATAATGCAATCGGCCAAAAGCAAAAGATTTACAATACAGCTACTGACTGCAGAACAGCAAAAAGCACATACTGTACACTGTATCCTCCAATATAAAAAAGAGAAATGTCTGCTACTTGAAATATATTGCATACAACATTGTGAAATAAAACACGCTACTGATAAAGCCTATCTGCTGTGTGTTAGTTTCAGAGTGCTGGACTGTGTGAAGCAGAAGTAAACTTGCAGTCACAAAGTGTTGGTCCATCAAACTAAATTAAGTAAATGTTCTGCTCACAAAGCTTATAAAATAAAAGGCTGAGGAAGGTTGCATGCATCATGGGGGTTCTATTCATGCGTAAAGAACTTATGAGCATTCAGTAAGTTACCTGTAATACCTTCAGTAGACAACAGTAATCACCATCCTAGTAAAGAGAATGTGGCACACAGGTCATTTTGATGAAATAGTCGATGTAAATTAATACTGTTTTGTGTTTTTTTATGTGTGTGTTATTTACTAGTTCTGTTGCAGTTTGACGAGGTTGCCGAGGGGACAGTATCACTCCACTGTTGCTAGGAGACGGGTGTGGAACGGATGTCTCTTTTTTTCTAACGGCTGTGTAGCGACATCGCTAAGTGAGTTACTTTGTAACAATTATTTAATTAAAATGTTACGGACTCAATAAAACATTTCGCTTGATTGTTTATCACCGTTACATTTTTGGCGAGCCAGAGCCTGGAGGAGTTTCAAGTAAAAGTAACTAATCCAAACGTGATAAACCGAAGACTGAAAAGAAGCTACAGATGGAGCAGCTTCAAGACGAAGTGAGCAGACCGCTGCTGATGTTAGAG